CAGCAGCGTGGCAGCTGCCAGTAGACTAGTGGCAGGTGCCACAGCAGTGCGGCAGCTGCCAGTAAACTAGTGGCAGGTGCCACAGCAGTGCGGCAGCTGCCAGTGAAGCCAGATGCAGCGTGACACCGGACACCGGAGGTGCCACTAAGATTGCCACTGCCGCGATTTGAGCCTGCTGTCTCTCGACTCTCTTAGCTGGTGCGGTGAAATTATTCCAGGTGAAGAGAGAAGGAACGGCTCAACCTTTAAAGCAGCTGGTGGTGGATCCACAGACAAAATCCTCCTGAGTGAAATGCAGGTACAAGTGCTCCCTGGCTTTATGCAGAAGTCGGGACCATCATCTCTTCTGATCGCTTGGATCCACTGCCTTTTTTGGTCTGAGTACGTTGTGAAAAGCATGGTGGGACAGATATGGCTGTTTTCTTGTCCCACAGGAACAACCAGGAACTGAACAAAAGAAACCGCGCTGAGACTGAGCCATTATCTCACTGTCTAATGATAACGCTATAGCCTCAGGAAGTTGTTGAGCACCACATCCGTTTTAAAACGCGGAAGCGTGAAAAAGGTCTATTTAGTCTGGGTTTAAACTGTTTAAGTTCTGCGGATTTTAACTAGAGTTCAAAAAAGCGAGTGCGCGCACTCCCTAAATAGTTGAAATTACACTTTAACGAACGTCAAAACAAACATTCAAATGTAAAGCCAACTTCAGTGCGTGTTGCTACCGGACCAGTTTCCAGGAGACTCCTTGCAGGAACGTGATCCAAGATGACTGAATAACCGTGCTCTGAGGCATGGATGAGTCAAGAAACATAATGTTTGATAAAAAATAACGATGATTGGGCGGACATGAAGCCTGGCAGCAGACAACATAGACATAAATACCTAGACGTCTCGTTGAGGGGGCTGGCCCACTGCAGCGGTGCGTCAGAGCGTCCGCCATATTGAATGTGGCAGAGCTGCTAGTCAACAAGGAAATGGCACTGAACTTCATAAAGCACCGTTCTACAAAGTGATTTATGTTAATACTGTCATTCACACACACTATCATATTTAGAAAACAAACAGGTTCCATAAACATAATTTGTAACTTTTAACGTGATTATTAGAAATGTTTACTCCTTAATTTTTAAAGGTAAACACCAAACCAACATGTAGTTTTGAGGGTTTACAATAACGTGTGTAACACTATCACTGTGGTGATATAAATTTAGAAACATTCATATTCATAAGCCGTCTACAAGAAGGGACAGAGCAGACTGTACTTCTTGAGGAAGCTGAAGTCCTTCAGTGTTTGCAGCAAGATGCTGCATATCTTCTATAAGTCTGTTGTAGAGAGTGTCATCTCTTCTGCCATGATCTGCTGGGGGAGCAGCACCAGAGCAAGTGACTTAAAAAAGATCAACAAGCTCATAAAGAAGGCCGGCTCAGTTCTGGGGACTCCTCTAGAACCTTTGGAGATGATTGTACAAAGAAGGATTCTTCATCAAATGAAGAACATTATAGACAACCCTCAGCATCCTCTTCATCAGACTGTCATACAACAACAGACTGTCATACAACAACAGACTGTCAT